CCTACACTGAGGAAGAGGTTGATTTTTAATAGCGAAGACTCTATATTCTTATGTACAGACTTTATTTCATTTATTACAAGCATTATATCTCCTTAAATCCTGTTACTGTATGTATCAGTATCGGAGCTATTGGTCTGCCTCTTCCTTGGGAGTCATCGTGCTCTTTCCATGAAATCGTATTTGAAATTCATGACGATTCCCAGAAATTGGGACTGAAAATGTAAAAGCAGAACATCTGAGAAATGTAAAGACCAGTTATGTTAATGGACGTCTGATAGAGAGAGAGGAGATAGGACAAGATAAGTGATCAGAGCAGATAAAATTGGATGAGATATCTCAGCCCTTAAGGCATTTAGATTGTATCTCTTTATCACCACTGCATAGAGTGGTTTCTCCAGCCTCAGGTGACAACAGCCAGTGCAGTGATGATGGGGTGGCCATCAGAAAAACAATGAAAAAAAGAGATCAGTTTGCTCTAGTCATCAAGCCTAGACAGAAACAACATGTTCCCCAAGCTCTTAACTCCAGACAGGAGACAACCCAATCAAAAAAAAAACACAAGATTAATTTAATCTAGATTGGTGTTTTTTAATTTGCATGCACAACACTTATGCATGTTAATGTAGAGAGGCCTGAAAACACTAGAGGGGTTTAACCTTTGATGACTATGGCTCTGCCTCTGCTTCAGAGGGCATTGTCCATGTGTCTCTATTATCCTGCTGGTCACGGTTCCCTGGCTCTGCCCCCGTTCATATGGGAGATATCTGTAGAGTAATTCTACCTGTCTGTTCCTATCGCCTCCTCTCCTTCCTCTCCTCCCTCCCTCAATGCATGACCTTTCTGCATTTTTCTCCAGCTGACCTTGATGTCCTGGCAGTGCTGTCCTTTTCTCCACCTCACACTGCTAGTAGCTCTCTACCCCCCCCATCCTCCATCACCACCACCTCGTGCCCCTTCATTTCCACCCGCTACTAACTGCTTCTTTCCTTGGTTCCACCCCCTGGATCACTTTACTTCTCTCTCCTCCCCTCTCCTCTTCTCGCTGTCTCCCCCTTTGCTCTCCGCAGCTGTACATACTCTGCTTTTTAATTAGACCCACTCACTCCCCCTCTGCCTCCTACTCCTCAAGGCTCCCCCACCCCCTCACCCTTTACAAGAATACAGGGGGCTTGCATGGTAACACTAAGAGGAGGTCACGATGGAGAGACGCAGAGAGAAAGGAGGAGAGAGGAAAAAGGAACGAGACAGGGAGAAGTGAGAGGAGCATCTGAGATCATAACTGCCTGCTTGCTCATTCTTGTCTTATTGCTCCCCCTCCTGTCCATTTACTTCCACTCACAGCACAAACGCTCAGCTAGGCAGGCGCAGCGGAGCTCAGAGCTCCGGTGGATGGATAAAAAGGTTCCCACGTGAAAGGCATGAATCTGCGGGAGAAGAGAAGGGTGAGATAGAAGAAGACACAACCAGTGAGGAGAAGAAAAAGAGGTGAGGAGCAAAGGAAAGAGAGAGAAGCGAAGAGCAGATGGACACTACACAGAGGAAAGAAAACGTTGTGAAGCTCACCGAGCAGCAGTGACAGAGAGGTGGGAATAAAAGCAAACACAAATGCCAGAGGGATGGAAGAATGAGAGAAAGAGAGCTGAAGGAATAGCAGAGAAGGGGAGTGAGCATTTGTGAGAGAAAGAGACAACACAGAAGGAGACAGGAAGAGAGAGATGTGGTATGTGTGACTCAGTTCTGTGTCCTGATGGAAGAGAGTACAGTAATCTCCCCATGTACCTCAGCTCAGCGTCACCATAGAGATAATGAAGTGAGAAAGATTAGATGACAGGTTTAAAAACATCATACACGTATCTGTTTTTATTTTTACACACACACACGTGCATGTATTTTGTTTATGTTTTGGCAGGTGTGTGTGTGTGTGTGTGTGTGTGTGTGCCGCACACAGATTCATTGTAACATTTGGGGTGTGTTCATGTGCTCATAGTGTACCTGTGCTTGTGTGTGTGAAAACTAGTGAGATGTTGTGTGTTTGGGTACTGGGACTGGCTTTACTGCAGGTGTGGGAGTTATTTTCTGAGATTGTGCAGCTTTATGAGAAGCTTAAAAGAGTGAGGAGCTTAGATTGGTCTGTCAGTGATGTAGCTTTGCAGATTCTGGCAGCGTGCTTTCATTGCATTTCATTGCATATTTGTCATGACCAGGACAGTGTGTGTGGTGAGTGGGTCTGGGGGGACAGAAAGTTTGAGAAGGAGGAAAAGGTACCGAGTGAGGAAATTCCATTTGCATGAATGTGTGTGCGTTTTTGTGTATTTAACTAAGGTCCACTGCATGTTATGATGATATATCTTGTTGAAATTTATACTTTATAGTCTGCACATTCTTTGTGTTTCTCAATATAGTCATTGACATGCACACACTCTCTAATGTTTGCATGCACGCCACCACACGCACAGGTGCACCCTGGCACTCATATTTTCTGTGTAGTTAATCCTGTCATCATGCAACTCTTCTCCACACTAAACTACAGTATCTTTGCATTTTACTGTATCTTCATCAGTGTGTCTTTTTAGGGGTCAGCTATCTTCATCTCGCAGCTTCTTTTTATCTACCACTTAATCCTTTTCTCACATTGCTTATAAATCTGATATCTGTCTTCACCACTTAATTTCCTCTCTTTACCCAACAGACGTTAATGCACTCTTTTCCTATTCTACTTTTCCTATCCTGCTGGCCAGGTGTTTTTCCTGGGCTGACAGCAGTTTGGTTTTATAGGTAACGCAGGGTTGGACAGGGACATTGCAGCATGACAGCCCAACAGAGAGTAACCCCCAGGGAGCACACTGCGCTCTATGTACGGTCACGTAGCATGCTGCTGTGCACTGGACATGTCAGTCACACCACCTGTTCTGCTTTGTTGCTGATAATTCACACAGAGATCTTTGGAACTTTAACCTTTCTGAATCCAGTGACAGATAGGAGGAGACAGAGATGTAAAAACTGGAGCATTAAAAAAAAGCTAACCAGCCAGAGAAACAAGATGCAGAATGAGTGCAAGAAACAGAACAATATTTAGTTTGGCTTTATTTCCACACATACCCAAACATCCTCAGATTTGTTCACAGTTGGTTAAGTATACTTATCACAATCCATTGGCCTACGTATAGGAATTTCATATTAGGCAGAGGATGTTGGTCAAATGAGGACAGATGGAACAAATTAGATTTCTGGCACTCACACTCTCAAAGTTAGAAGTCATCCTTCAAGGAAACTGGAACAAACAAGGTGGTGGCAGTGTCCTCTTTAGTAATGAACTGGCCATTAACATTTGTCTGTTTGTGTGACTGAGTGTTGTTTAACCTTGAAGTATTTGCATCCTGTGCTGTTGTAGGTTATACCAACAATAACAACAAATTTAAGACTTCTTTAAAAGCTAATTTCCTCAGCTTTTGTTAAAAGCTGTAAACCAAAACAAAACACTATGTTACCAACATTTTCAAGTATTTACTACAGGTTTTTATTAAGATTCACAAACCTCTTGAGCACGCTTCCAGACTCCAAACACAGAATCCAACTGAGCTGAGAAGTGAATTTGTTGATTGGCTCTGGCAGTGTATGAATTTAGCTAGAAAATGACCAAACTTTATCAAATTACGGAAGAAAGGGCTCTCAGCAAAATCAGAATTTAGAACCAAAACTCTTGGTGGACAAAACTAATAACAAAACTCTTTGCTTCTAATGCAACAAGCTTCTTAGGTGAAACATGAGGCTAGCATTGTGGCTCAGGCAGTACAAGCCACACATTTTCCTTTTAACTAAGGTGCTTATTACAATCATACCTCAGCTCAACGCAATCAGCCCATATTTTCCTGAAGTAAAAACAGTGTCACTATTTGTAATTGTCAGTCAGTTTTTTGCACATCAGCATGAAACATGAGTGGCTAAATATCTTATATAATCAGTCAGCTCTTTTAAAGGTCAATTCAGCACCTCAAAGTCCATAAAAATTATTACATCTCAGTTTGGAAGCAGAGAAGGTTTTAAAAATGTAGACCAGTGTTTTTTGGCAGTACATAAAAGTGTACATACTGTAACAAACAGACTATATCATAAGATGTTTAAAGCTACAATATGTAACTTAAGGTAACACCAGCATGAAAGTCCAAATCAGCCCGCTCTGCTCCAGCCAGCGCTCCCTCTGCTTGCCCCACTATGCTCTACTACGCTCTGCCACACTCTGCCCAGCTCTTCTGATATTTGTTCTTCTGAAACTACAAGAAATGAGAATTTAACAAAACTTACTGATCAAGGATGAATTAATTGAAAGTCTGTGTTTGGTTAGAGAGGTTAGTCCCGCTCAAATCCTTTTAGAAGCTAATATCTCTGCACTGCAGCCAGTGCTGTTCAGTGAGTTGGGGTCACAGGAGGCTTTGACAGCACCTCTCCACATTAAGAGCATATTTCTAAAACAACTATATTTGGGGGAAAAAAATGTACATGCTGTTAAGGTAGCATTTTCCAAAAGAGTTGCTAACATCACTGCACATAGTAACTGATCTAAACAAACCTGCCAGTAGCATACATACGTAAGTTGTTTGATTGACTCCTGACTAGCAAATAATAATTTGGTGTCAAAGGATGGTGAGATGTTGTGTTGTTTAATGTCTGTACCATACATCCAGGGTTTTTGCTGAATTCTCTGAACCTTTAGGTGAGCTACTCACAAATGAGGAGTGAGCTACTAGTAGCACTCCTGATGTAAACATCAAATTCCTTTTATTTTGCTAGGGAAGAGTTGGTTATTTACACATATGAAGCAGCATTAACTTTCATTTGGAGTTGTGTTTGTGTCCACCTGATTAATGTAATGTCTGATATTCATTCAGTTTTTAATTTTGTTTTAGCTCCCCACTAACTGAGGGAAATAAGCTCTTTAGTTGTTTAACAGCTAGTCACTGTGCCTGTCTTTTATGTTGGTGTCATCTATACCTGCAGAATTCAAATATGTGTAGGCACATACTTGTTGCAGAACTCACAGGAAATAATGCCTTAATCACACTGCATTTATACTGTAAGACAGAAGGAGGTGCCGCTCGTTAATGGCTAAAGGTGGTTCCTAGGTGGTTTTCTGTCTACACAGTGCAAACAATAAGAGTAGGCTGCCTCATGATTTTCATAAAGCTGTTAGCAAGTACCATGGAGGTCAGCTTTACCTTCTGGCACTCCCATGTTTGCTTCAGTGCTCAGTCATGGTGGTTACAATGATAACTGTATTTTGATGACAGGATAAAAAAAAAAAGAAGCTAGAAACGTCCAAGTTCTCTGTTTGCAGACGTTGATGGTGTAAATCCTCTGCTGCAGCTAGTGTCTGGTGAAATATGGCTTGCTGTGATGGCTGACTGTAGCTGGCCAAATCGGATGCCAGTACACAGTCATAAACAAACAAACCAGCATTTACATCTTGCTGCTATTACAAAAGTGTCAGGACTAACAATGGTTGTGTTCACTGTGTTGCCTTGGATTTATATTGATATAAGAAATTTATTTTAATGTGTTTGTTTGTGTAATTTAATGTCATTTAATTTGCTGTTAAGCATGACCAGGCTTAAGATTTCATCAGTCGCAGTGTCAGCAATTTTCTCAAGAATAGATCGTAGATGAAGCTTTCACTTGATTTACTTACTATATGTGCTGTACGTCACATATTCCTTCACTTTCTTCTAATAGCAATTTGTTAACGCTGCGTAGTTTTAGGTTATAGTTGTCTCCTGATTTATCGCTTCTTATTTATGCATGCGGATAGGTTTACATACAAATCTGTGTGCCTATAAAGTCATTTATAGGCTTACATATGCATTTTTAATGCACTTGTTGGTTTTATTGTATCAAATCAAATGAAGCAGCCCTCTGTTTGAAACACTGCTGTGCTCTGCTGCACACGATGCTTACCTAACAAAATATTCAACTACAGGCAGCTCTCAAGTAGTTCTTGAGTTTGATCTCTTTGGACAACAATGCAGACACCACAGAGGCTTATGCACTTTACATCTGTTCTGTGAGCTGGCTGTGTTGTAAATTCTTCTGACAGAGCGCAGGTATAACTCTTACCCTTCTTTGAGCTCACAGGGCCAATAACTGATCATATAGCTTTTCTCAGTTCCTCTCCAGTTCCCCCTTAAATGCCCTGACACGCTGATGCTCCTGATTTACCACTTCACTGAACCCTAACCATGACATTTCCTCAGCTGCCAGGGGTTGTTCTCTCCTGCTTTGCTCCCTGTCCCCCTACCTCTGTCTGTCTGTATCCCTCCGCCTCTACGTCCTCCTACTTATTCAGATTCCTACTCCTCTCTGTTTGCTATGTCTCATAGCATCTCTAAATATAACCAAGCATGTCTACTTCCTCTCCTTCCTCTTCCTCTTGCTGCCTCCTCTTCATCTCAGACCTGTCTGACAAATTTAAGCGTGCCTAGACAATCCAATCTGACATGGCTTTACATAACAATTCAATCCGCAGCACCTTCCACCTCCTCAGTACAGTGAGACCCAAAGGTGTGTTATTGGCATGGATGCAATTCTCAACATCCCTGAAAGACTCGGCTCAGAATAATATTAGATCTGTGCAAGTAGAGTCTAGGCGTCTTATATTTTGAATGCATCCGATATGTTTCTTAGAGACAGCATGGATTAGCACAAGGAGATCAGATCTGACCTTAGCATTATTATCGTCACACACACTAATATAACACCACACACACAAGAAAGAGGATAGAAGCCTATATCACAGTAAAGCCTTCTCAGAGTGGTAAGCAGCTAGCAAGTAGGCTGCAATAAATCTTAAATAATAACTGCAGAGTTATGACCCTTGCTGGCATTATGCAGTTGCACACCTTCCTCCTCCCGTCTGCTGATTTATCCCTTGTGTGCCAATAAAGCTCAACATGAAAATGTCACATGTGGGAAAAGCCTGAACTCAGCCACAGGAGTAAGCCCATGCAGCATTAAGAGGGTCAGGATTCATTAAACTGTAAGGGTAAATTTTGATCCCAGGGTAGTTTGCAAACCCAGAGGAGGAGATATGGGACAAAAAGAGGCAGCAGAAGAAGTTGTGGCTGAGCAAATGGTGGTGGAGGAAGGAAGACGGATACGAGTGACAGGGATAAAAAGAAAAAAGGAAAGGGGCCAGAGGGAAGAAGGATGGAAGAAGGCCGGGTCAGGATGACACCCCATAGAAAGAGTAAGGATAATGGTCCTGCAACCAGTGGATGAAACACAGAGGAAAATCTGTCACTGTGAAGGATGGACATAGAATGTTTTTTACAGGAGATGGGCAGGAAGACTGTCAACTGTACTGAAATAGGATATGAATGAAAAACATCGGAGTGGAAGCATGGTTTTATACAGGGAGAATTAAGAAGCAAAGTCTTCATCAAGGTCAAATGAACAGTATAGCTCAAAGCAGGTCTATAATATGCTACAGACATGCATGTTCAGTATTCAGTCTTCCACACTTGAGTGAATGCATATCTAACCTAGAATGACTCGGTCTTCTGTGTGAATCATAGTTAAGCAGCTCGTCTCTATAGCAGTGAAAGCTAAATGAGAAGAAACCCCATGGTTTGTTTCTAAATCCATTAATATATCTGAGTGTGTATGGTTGATGTTTTCCCTCAAGCTTCTGTCTTCTGTGACTTTAATCATAATTAATCCTAATAGCCATGTTTTTAAAGGGGTTGACTGTGGGGGCACGGTTGTGACAGAGATCCTCCTCTTCAGAGCTCTAGAAAGAAAGAGAGAAAACAGTGGATGTAAATACAAGTGGCAGCCCCTCGGGTATCTTTCTCCCTAAATAACCTGAGAGCTGTAGAGTTGCTAATTACCCCTTGCACAGAGGGGAAACAGAGCAACGGCCAGTCATACTCGCACGCAGAATTAGCCATGTCCTGTCAGTGTCAGAGGCTATCACAAGGAGATAACAAGGCACAGATCCATAGACTGTGTAAGGCAAACAGCAGCATCACGACTGACCGCCAGTGGCACAGACAGGAAATGGAAGTAATATATATACGCATCAAGGCCATAGGTCGTCAAAAACAGACCGTAGAATCAGAGCGATGAGAACATACTACTAACTACAGCATGGCGGACAGACTGTCACACAGTGGCCAAATGAATCAGAAAGGGTGTCACCATGGCACATCATCAAGGACCGATAACAGGGCCACAGACTGTTAAACAAGGAGGAAAAGAAAAATCTGTAAGACACACGCATATGAGCAATAGGAGAAGAGTCACACTGTGCCCGTGAGCAGGGATGATATGAATACCCCCCCGTGCTGTTGCTGTGGCCACTGCAATACAACAGCTTTTAATAATAGTAGTTCATATAATAAAAAAGGAATCCTAAAGAGGGCAATATCATTAAGATATGTCTCCTTTAGCCGATGTGAATGGGCCTTAATGAATTTCTTTTCTCTTGTTTTGGGTGGATGATGTTTTTCCTTTATTCAGGTTTTTTGCCATCTCCATCCTTTCATTAGTTTTCTGAATTGATGTCATCTTTTTCCATTTTATTCTGACCCCACTTTCATGCATTTTTAAAATAGCTGCCTATCTTATATCTTCTCCATTATCCCAAGGGACAAGCACATCATGTTTCATTGGAAATGCAGTAATATGGAAACAATTACAGTCTCTTATTTCTCTCTTTCTCTTGCTTCTGTCTTCAGGAGTTCACGCCATGAGAGAATGAGTCACTGAGAGCTGGGGAAAAAAGAAAGAGTGAGGAAGAGTGATAAAATCAAAACGAAGGGAAGGAGAATAAAAAAGTTGAAAGAGAGAGGCAACTATGGGAAGCACACAGGCCCATCCTCTACTTTAGCCATCCAATCTCTTGATGGCCCAGGGGACAAAGCAGGTAGAGCGGGGGGGCCGCCAAGTAGACAAGCCAATGTAATGAACACTGAAAGGATGGACAGACTGCATTTCCTCTCTCAATGCTTGTTTGCCTGTAACTTCTCCAGCCTCGTCAAGGGTTCATCTCCCTGGATAGTTTAAAGAGAAATGGGAAGAAGAAGCAGGACTGCACATCTTCAGAAGACGTGGAACATTTGTCACACACTCATTTTAAAGAATATTGATGCTGCATATATTTATTTTTCTACAAGTGTAAGACCCATAAGGGTTTTTCAGCTGGCATTTCTTGAAGTGATCTATATTCAGTTTTTACTTGCTTAATAATATTACGCCTTGAACTGTGAATATGGTAATCGATTCGTTCTTGAGGACAATTTTAGTTGCAGAGCAGATCATTGCATCTCAGATTTAAGATAACCTGAGCAGCTGCACGTAATCCTGTAAAGAGACAGTCATTATTACTATCCCAGCCTGGTCTGTGGTGAAACTGGAATTCAGTCAATCAATTGTACAGATCGCTCACTGTTATATTTGATATATAGTAAAGGAGACGCATTAACACAACTAGGCATTCACAACATCAAACTGCCCGCAGAGCCTGTGGATGTTGGGGGTGCGAGAGAGACAAGAGAAATGGTGAGCAAAGAACCCAACCACTTGCTCACAGGTCAAACTAACGGCAAGAGCACTTTGGCGAACAAGTTGCCTGGGACAATGACTGTGCGCTCTGTGCTGCTTAATCGAGACTCCCCAGATATTGAGAGCCGCCTCAAGCGGCGCCGTAACCGTACCCATCAGGTCCGCTTTAAAGACCTGGAGGATGGCAGCAGCAGCAGTGGCAACAGTGGAACAGGAGAAAACGATTGCCATCAGAGGCCCCCCAAAGACTGTGACAGCCCACATCCTCTTCGTAAAGACAGCAGCAGGTCCCCCCAACCATGGGCTGACGGGGATGGGCCACGGACTGATGGTCTACCTGGCCAAACCTCTGTGGTCGGGGCCGTGCGTGGGGACATGACAAGTACCATAGAGGTGGTGACTGCTTTCTTAGCCAAGGCTCCTCCTCATCCGTTGACACCAGGTCCTACACGTCGATGCTGGGCACCACCACAGACTAACTCTCTAACCTTGCCAATGACACGCAGATCCAGTACAAGCACCAGCACAGCCATCCAGACTTCCCCATGCCTAAAAAAGCCCCAGTCTCTCCCTTCCACCCAAATACGTAGCCACAGGGACTCAGTTGGCGTGGACGGCGATGATGAGCATGACTCTCAAGATGAGTACCTTATGCATAACCATGTGTTGATGTCCAGGTCCAAGGATCAGAATGGTCCTCCTGGGCCTGGGGATCGAACTGTGACAGAACGAAAGTCTAAAGCCTCCAGGACAGACATTAAATCAGCTGTTAGTGTGGTAAAAAACTCCAGGCGCAGCTGCCCGCCTTCAGTCTTTCAGAGCACTGAGCCATATCAGTGTTCCTCTGTATCGTGCCGAGATGGCACCAGGCGTCAAGGAAGCAGCACTCCCTCAGTGGTCAGGAGGAGAAAGCGTTTGAATAGGACAACAAGTGATCCTGGAAAGGAAGTGCACTACTGCACCACGCCCTCTCAGACCGAAAGCCCCAGTCCATCCCCGCCACCCTCAAATACCAAACTCTGCACCACTCAAGTTCAAACTGAGAGCCCTTCCCCATCTCCAAATTCAAAGTATTGCACCACCCAAAGTCTAAATGAGGGTCAACATCAGTCTCCACCTTTGAGTGGCAAACAGTGCACAACCCAAATTGAAAATGTCAACTCTTGCATAACCATACCTCCAAATGCTGAAAAGTGCACCACTCAAATACAAACAGACTCTCCTTGTCTGTTGCCTCCAAATAATCAACCTTGCACTACCCAGACACAAACTTACAGTTCCTGTGCTTCCCCACCTTTGGTGGTATCACCCAGCTCAGTTCAAATTCCATCTGAGACTCCTGTATCTCCAACTGTCACTCTTGACCCTCCCTCCACCCAAATGACTACTGTGCCTTACTGTACCTCTCCCCCACCTACAAGTGCACCAACACATACCCCTGAACTCTGCACTAAGCCACCTTGTTCCTCTTCAGTCAAGCCAGCTTGCACCAGCCCACCTCTGCATATAGCACTGTCCATTCCTTGCTTCACTTCTGCACCTACTGTTATCCAACACCCCCTACCCTATTATACTGTTATGTCTCCACAAACAACCCCCAGCACAGCTGTTGTTTGCTCCAGTCCTCCTTCAAATGCACCATCATGTCCCAAACGTAACTGCACCTCTCCTCTCCCAAACATAGCATCATTCACTCCCTTAACCTGTTCTTCCCCTACCCCAGCTATAACCCCCAATACAACTCCCTTTGACCCCACCAGACATCCAACCACTGGCCCAAACCTAACCCATCAGCCACCAAACAATTTATCAAACACTACACCTCCTATAACTCTAACACCCTGCACATTTGTGACTCAGACTGCCCTGTGTTGCACCTCCATATCATATTACACTACTACACATCCGATTGGTCTCCATGCCCCTCACTCAAACACTACTTCACCTTCTTACGCGACTCTCATACAAACTGTATCTCATTGCAACATCCCATGTCAAGCACTGCAAAATGCCTCCTCTGCCAACACAGGCATGACCCCCTACTCCTCCCCTGCCCCAAAACTAAAATCTTGCACTTCTCCAGCTCCACTTGTAAAAACATATGTGTCCAGTCTTTCAAACCCGCAACTGTGTGCAACTCCAAGTAAAGCTGTTCCTCTGTACTCTTCCACATTTCGTGCTGCACCACCATACACCCCCCCCTCTCAGGCAACTTATAATGCTCAGGATAAGAGGGGTATTCGGCTTCCACCTCCTCCCCCACCACCTCCACCTTACACACCTCGCAAAAAGGGAAATGAACCACCAGGTCCAGCAATCCGAACACCCTTGCTCAGGGCAGATGGTAAGGCCAGCGAACAAGACAAAGACAAGGAGAAGGATAAAAAGGAAACTGTAAAATGTACAGACTCACCCAAGCTCTGTGAGGGAGCCAGCTCTCTGAAGCACAGAGCTCAAACCCCGCCAGTTGCTGTGATGAAGGAGGAGAGGCAGTCTTCCTCCTCTCCTGCCAAGGCCTGTTTTAAGCCCAGTTGTCTCAGCTCAGCCCAGGCTCAGCTTGGGGCACTACACAAAATGCTCTGCTCAGGAGCCAGTGCCAGGCCCAGCACCCCCAACAGCCAACATCCTCTCCCTCCAAACCAGCAGGGTTGTTCTGGAGCTAGGGGCTGCTCTGCTTCTGGGGAGCTCCCTACAGTGGGGCCCCTGACTGCCACCCAGGCTGATACACTAAGACAGGTCCAGGAAATTCTTGGAGGGTTGGTGTCTGGGGCCCGGTGTAAATTGGACCCATCCAGAGTGACAGAAAAGCTCCTGAGTCCCAATGGACCCCTGCATGATATTCGTAACCTGCAGAACCAGCTCCACAGCTTGGAGGGGGTCCTGGAGACCAGCCAGAACACCATTAAAGTCCTGCTGGATGTCATTCAAGACCTTGAGAAGAAGGAAGCTGAGAGAGACGGGTAAGGCAATGCTTTATTTTGTTAGGACCATTTTCATTTCTATGCTTTTAGATCAATTTTATCAACAATGTTCTGAGCCACAGAACATAACATTTACATTTTAGCATTCCTGGCTTATTATAGTAAAACTGTAAACAGGTAACTGCTGACAGCTAGTTGATCGGAAGGCTTCACATTTATATTGAATTAAACTCTAAGTCTTTAGAAAGCCTACCTTAATTAAGTTTCACACTAACATTAAACTCATTCGTTTGAATGAGGCCACTCTTGTTGACGCAGCGGAGGTGCTGATGCAGAAAGCTCCAGCAAAATATGCAGCATCATCCGGCAAAAATGCTGAACCCAGCTCAGCTTCTGCTATAACACAGTGCAGCATTAACTGGCAAGACACTGCAGTGTCCAATCAAACAGCAATGAAAGTACCATCTTTACTAAAATGATGTGAGAACCATTCTAACCTAAACTCATTCAAAATGATCTTAACTAGGTTTGTCTGGTGCTAATCTTGAAAAAACAGTGGTAACCCTGCTTTGGACTATGGATTAGCTGAAGGTTTCACACATGCATACTGTGTATTAGCCCAAGTGTTAACTTGAGTTAGACTATTTCTGGGTCAACCTAAACCACATTTTACATTTGAAAAATAAAAAATGTACCCCAGGTATTCAACTTTTGATTTTTACATTGTATGGCAGATCACTCAGGATCGCAGTATTGTTCTTCGGCAGTGCCAGGTGGTATTCAAGTGTTAACAGTAGAGTGAAATGTTGCATAGCCCGGGATTACATCAAGAGTTTTGAAAGGGCTTTGCCTGTTATGTGAAAGTCCTAGGCCAAAAGAGGAGCTTTCCTACATTTCCCACATTTCAAGTTGTAAATGTAAACCCAGGACATGGACCCAGGGTCAAATATGTTGTGAAAAGACGTCTGTTAATCTGTGGCAAACTCCTCTTAACCTTTATCACATTATAAATGCATAGATAGATAGTTAGAAAAATAGATGGTTAGATAAAAAATGGGGAAGGAGAGAAAAACAAGCAGTGGGAGTACGTAAATTATGAGTGCCTGGTATTTTGGAGACCTGGAAAGTAAATGTCAGCTTGTAGCCTAAGTGCCTACTGTTTTATTACCAGACACTTAATTGTCTTGAGTAAGATTCAAATTCTCTCCACACAAAAAACAAATGAGGGGCTGACTTGATAATGTGATTGTGGTTTTGCATTGAAGGTATGCTTCCTCTCTCCTGGAATGAAGTAGTTCAGTGTGTTGTTGTAAGAAGATTTTTATTCACCAAAAAGGGGATATCCACAACGTAGCTGTAACAACCTCATTGCATCATGTGCTGTGAATATTACAGATAGATGGCTGTTGTGCCTAAGCTTTGCTGTGATGCAGCTTCTTTGTTTATAGTCAATCCCTGCATTGGAAGAGCTGTAAATACTTTGGCAGCAAATCTGTGTGTACAGAACACAATGTAAATTTGGTCAGAATGAGAGGGCAAGCGAGACAAAAGTGACTAAACCAGTAGGGTGAGCAACAGAGAGAAGAAAGGGAATAAAAGATTGAAAGCAAGGCAAAAGGCAGGGGAGCATCTGTAGTTATTTTTGTAATGTCTCATGTCTGTAATGTAATCTCTATTCTCGATATGCTGAAGAATTTATATCACGTCAGACCACATGGAGACTTTTAGGAGACTGGTTGCACCTACTGTATTTTGCAGCATCTCCTGCATGTATGCACCAGGTGGGGAAATCAGAATTTGACTGCCATCATGTTGGAGGTTGTCATCATGCTCCATACCCTATTAGTGTAAACCTTTTACCGTTCTCATCAAGTCTTCAATTAATCGTAAGCTGTTTAATTTCTCCTGCCTTATCACACCAAAGTAGTACATAATGAGGGAATGAGAAAACTTTTGGATAGAAAGCGATCGACATGGATAGACGCGTGTCTATGAATCCGCACAAAGATTTGGCTGATATTTATGGAGCCTAGTCCAAATCACACTCATGCTAAACTTTATACTTTGCAAACATTTGAACATGAGACTGCATGGCTTTCTGTCTTATAATGTGACATACAGTATCTTGAATTTTCCAGTATATAAGAAATTAGTGATGGGGCTAAGTCTAATGCATGCAGACTTGACTTTTACCTCCTAAGCATTATTTTATCCCCGGAGTGATATAGTAACTCATGGTTTACATAACAGCCTGAGCCTGTTGGAAGGAGTATCATTCATTAAAAATGATTATGGGTGATTTCAAAGAGGAGATTGGTATATTTACGGGGATGTATGTGCCAGAAATTTGGCTCAGTTAGGGAAAAGATAGCCCGAATATGTGTATGTGCTTGTGGGCTCTCACAAACATACACACTAGGGAAGGGACAGTATCAAAATTCAATATATCGCGATACAAAAACATCACAATATGTATAATTTTGTTTAGTGATATGTATTGTGTGGTTTCATATTTTTTGTAATAGGTCTAACAAAATGTAAGTCAATATATCTGGTTGTTATTTACATACAATAATCAACCAGTGCTAGAAAGGGGTGGAAAAAGAAGAGTAGTACAAGTAATCCGCAGCTAGTCATACATTTTTGTCATTGAATTTTTAATTGTAGCCTAATTAAATGAAACCGTACACACTACACCATGCATTGAATTGTATTGAGAAAAAGTCATATCATCCCAACCCTAATACACACGCATAATGCCACTCTTTCTTGATGTCTCATCTCTGTGCTTTTCAACAGAAGACATTCCTACAGGACTGGACAGGACATTGAGAACTGTGGGACATGCAGAGACTGTGCCTGCATCATCTACAGGTATGTGGATGGATGCAGGTGTGAGTTTCTGCATATTTAGTGCTTGTTGTACATATGAACATTGAGAGCACAGTGTGTGATTTGGTGCACAGTCATATGCATCATGCTGTCATTTTGAATCATGTCAGTTTGGGGAGTTTATTGTTTGGTAGGGTTGTGGTTGTGCTCTGAGTGACAGTACAGCTGGATGTAGCACTGTGAGTACAGCCACTCATTGCACAAACAGCTACAGGCTTGATCACAGTTTTAAGGCTTATTAAGACTTTAGCACATACACACACAATCCATGTCTTACTATAGTTGTGAGGACATTCATTGACATAACACATTCTCTTGCTCCTCTCCATAACCTTAGCCATCACGACTAAATGCCCAACCCCACCTCTTACTCTAACCTAGGCTTTAATCTAACCTGAACCCTAAAGCTGTGTCTACATTACAAGTGTTTCAGCCGTGTGATGTGTGTTTTTGTGATGCACGTCACGTAACCAATAAACTACGATATTAATCAATCCAGCTGTCTAAACTGCTTGCGTGTTGCTTTGCATATCACTCGTGCTTTACACATGTACAGTAGCCGTGACCTGAAGCAATTGCACACGACATACTTGTGGTGTAGACATGGAATAAACTAAGTTTAAAAAGCCATTTAAAATTGTGAGGATTGTCTAAAATGCCCTCACAACATCATGTCCTCATAGCAATGGCAATAAAAAGTATCTACACAATGCAATAAAGACACACACACACACTCACTCATGCACTCTCTCTCAAAAGTAATGTAACGCCTGTGTGCTCACTTTGTTTCTTCTCTACTCTTCTCATTTGTCTTCTCTCCTTATCTCTTTTCTTACATGCACACAGTGTCAAATACACAACACACACACAGTTACTGTATAATCATTCTGCTTCAAGATTTGAAATGAAATCAATCAATTAACAAACCGGATTTCACACTTTACAGAAGGGTGAAGAAAGGCAAAAAGAAAAGTGTGTATTGCTATGAAATCGAAATCCCTGTCTCTTAGTTGTAAATGTCAAAGCTGAAAAGAGGGATATTAGCAGAAGAGGCAAGTCTTGCAGAGGGTGAGGAGAAATAAAACTGTAGAGAGAGAAGAGATGACAGTACTTACATTCGCAAATATAATTTGATTATGACAGGATTAAGGCGCTTTCTGATTATTAAAACTTTCATGTAAATACCTTAGAGGGGTTACTGTATGTTAGTCATAAATTTCATAAAGCATAACCTAATTAACAGGCCAAGATTCGTCATCAGTCTTTTTAATTGTGTACTGAGATGTGACTTATATACACCTCAGACTGATTACCTTCAGTGATTTGATTTTGCACACTCACCTACTCATCCGTTTATTATTTATTAGTTTGCAGTGCTATTAAGGTGTTTCCTGTAGCTACAACCCATCCTCAGCGTTAACCTGATTAACAAACAAATGATACTACAGCTGAAGTTGAGTTACTGTAAACCACATAAATGATTTGATCATGCTAATCTGATTGTTCTCACTAATTTATTTACCGGTATATGCAAACCTGCCCAGTCAAGGAACAGAAGAAGAAGAAAGACGTACAGTTCATGATAAGAGAGAGGAAAGCAAGAGGAAAAAGATCTATGAGAAAAGAGCTGAGGTTTCACAATGGAACAAAAAAGAGGGAGAAGATACATAAAGGAAATGATTCATTTAGGAACTACTGTAAATACAGCTTAGTTTTGAAAGTGAGGATCGCTGAAGACAGGATAAGAAATACAAATGAGAACCTTACTGAGAGAGGAAGCGAGTTCCCATTCTTTTATGTTGTACGGTATCATCGTATGTTCCTCTTTCAGGTGGCTAATCTGAAATATTACACTTACTGCACAGTCGACATCTCAAGCCACTGTTTTATGGTCAGATGAGAGGTTATCACTCAATCACCTGTCAAGTCGACATTCCTTTCATGTGCGACAAGAGGATTTACCTGCTTTGAAAACAGCAGAGATTTTCTTTTCTTTGAGGATCAAGTCGAGCTGAGAAAATATTGCTGTGATAGAGGAAAAAGGTGGTGGAGTAAAAAAGATGAAGTGAAGCCTAAAAAGGAGTGAGTGATGGAGACACCATAAAATCTGACAGGACAGATTCTATCAATTAAAAAGCTTCTTGAAGAGGTCTTAGTCCTCAGAGAAGGCAACACAGCTCAGCACACGCTATCAATCTATCTGAAAAGCAGAGGCAGGAATTTACTTAGAAAAATGTAAATAGTTTCTATTTGTTATTGTCCAATAAACAAAAAAAATAAATCTGAGCTAAATGCATCTAACACTACAGAACCTAAAGCTCCTCTAATCAATACATTTTTATTAACAGTAATTAGCCACAGCTTGTGATTCTCATGTACTGTATAACATATACTCAAGTCACAGAGATAATCTTTCATTAACTTTCATTTCATTACTGAGACTTGCTGACTGTTGTAAACTTTATTGTCATTTCATAACACCCAAACTCTGAAGCTATGTCCCGAATCATCACTCCTATAACGATGCAGACTAAGAAATGATCCTTTCCAGTCCAGGAAAAATATCATTTTTGTTTCTCTGGTAAAACAACTTATTTCCAGTTAAATAAAGATGGCGACAGGAGGGGTGGCACAGCGGTGCAGTGGTTAGCGCTTTCGCCTCACAGCAAGAAGGTTCCAGACTCGAGCCCCAGCCTGTTCTGCATATTTCAGTATTTAGCTGTCCAACCTATAACGTTATTGTTCTGCTTCACTGTCACCGCTAGTTTTCAGCTTCCCTCAGGAGTTGGTGGAGACCAAACCCGAGCTAAAAGGAGAGAAAATATTGAACATACTTTTTCAATTGGCTAGAAGCACAAATAATATTACCCCATATCTGCTGGATGTGCAGATAGTTCCATGTTTATTTTATGATTTGATCTCAGTGCTGTATTTATAGCTTGTTATGCTGCTTGGAGTTGGCCAAAAACATTTATTAATACAGCTTTATATTTTACTAGAAATCCTTAGGTTTTATAATGTAAAGACTAACAGTGAAGTTTAGGTGAATTTGTTTAAAATTGTACAAGATACACACAGATTGCTTATATTAGTGGTAAAGGACTGCTTTAAAAATATGGCATATTTAGTCTGAGCAGATTTGATCTATTATACCTTCAACAGAGTGCTAGAATACACACAAACCTTTATATATGATACTGTCATATGGTGTGCTGTAGATTTTTATTTTTTATTAAACAAGCCAAAGGAGGAAATCAAGGGGAAAATCAAGTGTTTACCTTTAATAGGTTAACAGTAAATTACAGGAAATATTTATTTAAAAGATCAAAACAAATCATAATCTAACAAAAGCAATATTAATATGTTAAGTATAAAGGCATTATATCTGTGGTTAAAGTGTATCTTTGTGTGTTGGCACACAAGGCTTTTTCTGCAGTTACTCATCTTTCAGGGCAAAGCTTATATAAAAATGCTAATGACACATTAAGCATACTAATGTAGTGGCCACAGAATATAACATTGTAAACAGTTTGTACTCAACCAAGACTCACAAACAAGAGGTTCATTTGTTCTGCTTCTTAAGGGTCTCGTATTACAAGAAGAGTACTGCGTGATTTATGTGGTGTCATTTATCCAGCATCAGGATCATTTTAGTCCATATTAATATGGAGTTAAAGTGATACGTTACGGTAATTAGACAGTGAAATTGTGATTTTGTCTCTGTTATTCTTTTTCTTAATAGCGAATGTGCTGTACGGAACAAATGTAGGGAGATCTAACAAGGGAGTGTTGTGCCTAATCCTTTTGGAGTGTGCAAAGACGGCGGCCTAATCTGATCTGTAGTCTGCCGCTTTATCTCTGCTCTGTCTATTGCGCGATCACACTTTTCACTGAAGGAGCTCGATGAGCTGCTACTATGAGATGGATTAATAACTCTCCGGACCATATGTTTTCAGCTAAACTATCACTCCACTAAGAGTTTTTTTAGTACAATCCATCATTGCCTTGGCTAAACAGCAGATAATTGAGAAAAAGGCTGCTGAGAAAGCATTCTTTCTCTTTCTCTTTCTCTTTCCTGCTAGTTTACTGTTATCTGTGGGGATGCTTGTTTGATATCTGGCCTCATTTCAAGCTCATACTGTTGTCTCTCTATTCATCTAATTTACAGTCTGGGCTGACTCTTTAAACATCCTATTTGTCAATGAACGCCTGTTCACATCACTGATATGCAAATGCATGCCAGGCGCGGTGGTGGTAGAACGGAGGATTCCTGTACAGAGTTTCCAAGAGTCGTAGGACGAACGCTATAGACTGATCCATTGGGAGGGCTTGATATGAACATTTTGTGACAGTGCCTACAGTAACAACTCATCACTCGCTGTGTTCACCACACACACATCATGAATCAGTGCTTCCTGACACAACATCACATGACTGGATACTGGATAGTCCTCTGATTGCAGTAGAACAGACAATGAACTGGTGGAGACTCTGGAGACCGGACACCAGGAAGGAAATTGTCATGACTCTCAATATCGCCAGCTCTTTTTTCTCTCACTCCATATTTCTCATACCTCTTCCTCTTTTTTTTTTTAACATATGCCTAACTCTAGTATGCACTGAAATATTCATCCATGTTAAAATTTTATCACAATGAAGATTTTAAAAAGTAATCGTAGTGTTAAAGGAGACATGGAGACATCTCTCCTTTGGTTCGGTGTGGGTGAAGGAGAGCTGCCAGACACCTTTGTCCAGTAGATCCCCATGACAGAGCAGCACTGCATTCTTTGCATGGTTAAACAGGCAGTGTAATGTAGGCTGTATGGTTCAGAAAGAATTAATCTGTTGCATTAAAACTTTAATAGAGCATGTGGGGAAATAGAGGATTTTTTTTTTATCAGAGTGAAGGGAATATGGAGAGAGTGGAGACTCTAGTAGGAACAATGTATAGTGTCTTTGCTGTCACTCAAGGCAGTGTTAAG